CTGTCTCACGCTCCATATGCCAGCACCTATATCCTCCAAGGCTGTCAGTCCCTCCAGTGCATGGAAAGTGTCTCTGCATTTTTGTGACCCTCATTGGATAGGCATAGGGATTGTTGTGTGCTGACCTGTCCTGTCTGCTGTCCGCTGAGTTTGGGGCTCGGTGGCATGGGTTCTGGTAACCACTTCATCCAGAAGTCCTTTCTTGTTCCGCACCTTCCTGTTAGTACCCGCGGGGCGGTGAGTGTTTCGCCTTCTCCAGGGCCTTTCTGTCTCCCCAGTCAAGCACTGGAACTTCTTAGACATTAGGAATATGACGACTAAATGATAACCACTTTGCAAAGACCTCAAAAGCTAGCACAGACTTAGCTGTATGTTTGCCTACAAATTTATAAACAAAAATTGTCTTTCAATGCTTAACTCAGCTGTGATTGCTGAGACATCACTGCAGACTATAATTCAGTGAATAACCAGCCGTCAAATAATTCCAAGACAAAAAAAATGCAGAAACTCTTTGAAAAATGTTTGGCTAAAAAAATATTTTAAATCAATTTTGAATATAACTTTAATATTTGATATAATAACAGAGGAGGATCCAAAAAATAAGCATTCTTAGGATCTTAAAAATAAATTGTCAGGGTCCACATTTCACATAGCTCAAGAAATACTTGATAGATTTTAATTGATTATAGTGAAATATTAATTGATTATAGTGAAATGATGAGTGTTGTGTGAAGGGGAGAAGCAAAGGTGTTCGCGTAAGTACCAAGAGAAAGAGAATTTCTAAAGCAGTTCTAGAGACACTACACCATCTTTGGGCTTCTCCAGTGGCATGGAGGGGGCGTCCTGGAGCAGTCTCCTGGCCCTCCCCTCAGGTTTGTTCCCCACTCTTGTCTGGTTCCTTTGGAGGAGAGGAAGTTGGGGGAGGCTGGAGAAGCCTGAGGGCAGAAGAGGAGGGTAGATGAAGCCAAGACCCGTGTTTGCCGTGCCCTGGCAGTAGCACAGATCCAAGGCCTGTACGTTGCTGGCTCCTGCTCCAGCTCCTTGTTTGCTTTTGTGAAGCCGGAACTGACCTTTCCACTTGCCCTTCATGCTCTGGGTGACTCAAATGCTGAGCCATTGTTTCAGGAACTGATTATGCACTGACAGTATGGTAGAGGTATTTCCTCAGTCCTTGCTGAAGCTGAAAGGTGGGTAGATTTTGGTATGTTTCTGCTTCAGTCAGAGACCTCTCTTTCTTCCTTTGGGTGTTGTTTTGGTTTCTCCTTCAGTATACATATCACAGTCCCAGATGCTGAGATTGACCTGATCCTGCCAGAAAACTGCCAGAGATCTTGTAGCTCTCACTGGCTGCTCCTAGCATTCGTGTGTCATTTTTGTGGAAGGCTCACCCCATCCTTCTTACCAGCACAAGGGGCCAAGATGGAACTGGAGTTGGAACAGAGTCAAATGTGGGTGTGTGAGCCATGCTAAGCTATTGTGCTTGTCAGTGCCCGAGGAGAAGCACTGTAACCAGCGTCGGGGAGGTGTTTCTAAATAGATTTATGGGATCTCCCCACTCTGAAAGTTTGGAGTTGCCAGTTAAATACATATGTATTTTTCAAAGGAAATCATCAAAAAAGACATTCCACTCTTATTACAAAGCTATTTTAGGGGTAAATATTTTGATAGATGTGGTTCGGTGCACCTGGGAGCTGAGCTGTAGCTTGAGGCAGTTAGAACAGATGGAGCTCTGAGATAGCTCAAGGCTTGGGTTTTCCCCTGTGCGAGACACATGCTTGGTGGGGGCAGCGGGAGCCTTAACATTTTCTATGCTGACATTAGAAAAGTAGCTTCCTCGTGAGACAGTCTCATTATTGGAGTTCTAGGACCAGTCTAGGACTTCTCTCAAATAAACATATAGCAAGGTCTGTTGTGGTACAAGCGTTCTGTTAGGGGAGAGAATGAAGTCTGCAGACAGGACTAAGCCATGTCAGAGCTGCTTAAGTTTGCATCCGATGCAAGGCAGAGAGCCTAGGTTAGGGCACTTACTGAATGGCATGAACAGCAGACATTTAACAAGACAGAGAAACTGCTGCGAGCTTCCTCACTAGTCAGCTTGAAATCCTAACATATAATTTTTAAAAATAACCCAATGCGTCATCCAACCTTGTCAGGAAGTAAGTGTACGTGTGTACAGTGCTGGCTTCTTTCCATGCTCACTGCCATCTCAGGAGATCGGTTGCTTGTCAAGTGACATTTTCCGCTACTGACATGTTTCCCCCTTTGACTAAAGTCCTGTCTTTCATCGGCCATAAAGGTATTTGTCCTTACAAAAGCAGTGTATTAGGAGAGCTATGACTTGGTAAACTCATATCGGCCCCATCCTCAAATTAATATTGGGTGTAGGATGAAGGAAGAGCAAGCCTGTTTGTTGTCATTGTTTATCTTTATGTTTCTGTTTTCTTGAGACAAGCAGGGCCTCTCTGCATAGCTGGGCTGGCCTGGAACTCAAACCAGTCCTGCCTCGGCCCCCAAGTGCTGAGTTTTACAGGTATGAGTTACCACACCCTCTCATTTGTCACTTCTTGTATCCTGTCCCAAGATAAATTCCCCAAGGGCAGAAACCATCTTTCTGTCCTCATGGAGTGATTGCTGATGAAATGTTGAAGGGCTCATTTTCTCCAACACCCAGAACTATCAGTTGACACATGGCGGTGGTAATTTTCCAGCACTTCCTTCTTAGTAGCACAAGCAGGAACATGGATACCATGAGCTAGGCAAGAGTTAACCCTTTCCACCCTGGGTAAGAGTTCCTGATAAACTTTCTCCTTGACTGAGGAGAGAGAACAAGGCCCAGTGCTTCCTCAGAGATGGCCTTTACAAATTGGGGGACTGGCTTTGATTGCCAGAGCTGTTTGTAGATCACTGGAGGTGCCCTGTGCTTGCAGCATCTACTAAGCCTCTTGTGCTCTTCCACTTAATGTTTTGTTAGCCTTTGTGCGTGCTGCTTATTTGAAACAGTATGGTTGGATGACTGCAGCCATTCTAACAATTGGGGTTTTCTTTTTAACAATATGAGCATTGCAGATTGCCTCTTATTGCACACAGTATTAGGAAAAAAAAATTTAGAAATGATTGTGCTAAACTTACTTTAAAATAAAAAGGTTCTGTTTAAAGTTCAGCTGATTATAGTATAAACCAGGACTGGTGATTCATTCTAGCTATACTTTTACCCCCTTGTATGCTTTTAGTTCTTGTTTGGGACCCTGACAGAAGAAAGCCCTTAAATTATGTAGATTACTTATTTAAGGCACCTGATTTAGTAGCAACTTGTTGACTAATTGAGGAAACACTTTTAGTTAGAAATAATTAGAAACAGAAAATCCAAGTTGGTGAAGGATATAGTTATAGTTAATTTGTGACTATATTTGGACAAAGTAAATGTGTATAAATTTAATAATGTCTCAAGTGCATGCTCGCCTCCTGATCCTGCCTTAAAAACCCATAGTCTTCCTCACAGCAGCTCATCTGCAGGAGACCCTAGACATTTTCTAGGAAGAAACCTGCTGGGGTACCAGGACTGGGTCAGTGAATGCAATCTCAGCTTTGCTCCTTACCTACAATCTTTGTGATGATCATAAGCATATTTAAATGGCTTCCAAGGACTCTGAGCTTTTGGCCAGTGATGCCAGTGACAGCCTTTCTTCCTTCAAGTCTGTGGGTGTGATCTAGTAAGCTATTTCCTCTCACTGTGCAGAGTGGGCCCTGCAGCAGGATGGGTCGTTCACTCTAGAGCCATGAACAGGGCCCAGCCTAATGTGTGATTCTGGTGGTGTTTCAGTGCTGAAGAATGTTGAGGTTGAGCTGCCTTCCAGTTTAGCTGCTAAGGCAAAGACCCAAGCTTGGTCACTGTATTAGTTAGCATTCTCATAGCTGAGACAGAACACCTGACAAACAGAACTGAAGGACAGAAGGGCTCTCGCAATGGAGAAGCCTGGCAGCAGGAGCACAGCTGGCCCCGTTGTGCCCACAGTCGGGAAGCAAGGAACTCTAACAGCTGGTGCTTGCCACCGGGTCCCCTGGGAGTGGTGGCGTTCACATTCAGGAGTGACTTCTAAGTTAAATCTTTCTGGAAACACCCCCATAGATACACTCAAAGGTGTGTTTCCATGGTGATTCTGAGTCAAGTGAAGTTGACAATGAAGATTGCCCATCACAGTCACTAAGCATCTAAAATATCACTCGCTGTGTTGCCCAGCAAGACTGGTGGAGTGTCCTGTAGGGAAAACAGGAATTCCCATGGGCTCTGCTGCATGTCCAGGACATCCTCTGTGTGGCTCAGCACACTCAGCACTAGAGGGGCCAGAAGGCAGTTACATGAGTGATCTGGTGCCTTTGTAGGCCCTGGCCGGGGAACAAGTGCCCTGCCCTGTCTACGGCTCTCAGTGCTAGTTTTCTAGAGAAAGTGGACATTGGAATGATGCTTTTTAAATATTCACTGCTGATTAAAATTTTCAGAACACTGTAGCTGAACAAAAAAACCTGTTTCTGAATTACAGGTTAAATGTGATTGGGAGGTTGTATATGGGATGCTAATTCCCTTGATGTAATAGTCAGTTATTTATCTCTTCAGATTGTCGCTTTTGTATTTTAAGAGAGATAGAGATATAGCCCAGAGAAAGTCAGTACTCCATTCTCCCTGATGAAGACTTGGCTGTTTCCAGAATCCACTTCAGCATACAATTCTCCTAAACCACCTGTGTGACACCCAAAGCTTAGGCATCAAGAATAATACTAACCTGCCCAAATCTTCAGTGTATCTGCCATTCTGTGAGGGCAGGAGGCCACAGCATTCGGGACCTGGGTTACACACATGAGTGTAGCGGTGTGGGGCCTCTTTGGCAGCCCTGGCTGGATTCTGGCTGCTTGCAAGTAATTTTGCCTGAGTCATGGAAGGGAACTGAGAGATTTTGATGAGCGCAGCTGTGCTATTGTGGGAGGTCAGTCTAACAGAACTGTTGAAAGAGCAAGCATAGAGCCAGTGCCTGACTTAAACCTTACTTCATGACGGCAGTGTTAGTGTGGGCATATTACTTTACCTCTCTGTGATCTTGCTTTCTGCTTATCTAAGTGGCAATAGCACAGGTTAAGTATCCTTCATCCAAAAGACTCAGGTGTTGGGGAATTTTTAGATATCTTCATTTTTTGCATGTATATAATGTAATAAATTCAGGCAGAATCCGAGTTTCAAAATAAAACTCATTAACATTTTACTCAGTATATACTCTATACATGTGAGCCAAAGATAAATTTTATGCAGTATTTGTAATAATTTGTACATGAAACAGCTTCATGGTATGTGCTGTGTCACCATGGTGACACTGTCTACATCACAGAGTTACAATAGTTACATCAGCTCTCCAGTACCTCACACGTGGCAGATTCATTGCAGTCATTGACTACTGCTGCTGCTATTGTTTTTATTACAAAACCATTGAACTTTGAAGGCCTGGGTTCAACCACTGCTGTGCCTCTTAGTAATTGTGGCCACCGAGCTACTGCTTAGTTGATGTCTGTGAAGATCAATATGATTGAGAAGACCCAAAGATAAAATGTAATTACATATGAAAGTGCATAAAGGTTTCACAAATGAAAAGTATTGTTTGGTGCTTAGCCTTGTTTCAGAAGTGAGGACGTGGATTAGAACTGTTCCATCTCTGCCCGGCACTGCTCAGACCCCAGGATAAGTCAGTAAGCTGTCTCTGTGACTTCTGACATTCGGGTCATGCTATTCAAGTTGGCTTCAGTATCTTTAATTCTCCTGAAAGAAAACATTATACTGCGTTTGAAAGCATTTGCAGACCGTTTTCCTAGTGCCCAGTAAATATTGTTGGAATGGAACTCTCTAGAAAGGGCCTTATTGGATCGTTTCATTCTGTGATAACATTACAACAATAACCAACAGTAACCAAGACTATGGTGTAGTAGTCAAGGAGAAGTTGATTTTTATGTTGGTGAGTGTGGGGGATACAACCAAGTGGAAATAGATAGATGAGAAACCCGTTTCCCTCACAGCATTATCTTTACAGCCGGTGTACTAATTGACTCAGAGCTAACACCTGGGTCGTCTATTTTTAAAAACCTACTGAAGTCTACATCTTAGTGAGATTCTAGGAAAGAAATCGCAACAGCTGTCCAGGCATCTGTTGGAGTGACGCAGTGTGAAAAGAGTTCTAAATATAGTTGGGACCTAAGACAAATGAATTTCCATGCAGTGTGGCAAGTATCAATTGAACTAGCTCAGAAGGAGCGTGCTGTTAAAATTAACCTGAATCAAGAGTGGATATGGTTTGCTCTGGAAGGCAAAAGATGTTTGCCTTGGTAATTTTTGTTAGCAAACTCAAAATATAACGTCCATTGCCACTTTCCAGGTACAGAGAACCAGTATACCAGAATGTGGAGTAAGGCCAAATGGCGTCAGACTGACAGTGTAGCTCAGTTGCTAGAGTGCTTACATAGATGCATGAAACCCTGGGTTCAGTCCCCAACACCACATAAAACAGGCATGGTAGTGTTCCACTTGGGAGGTGGAGGCAGGAGGATGAAGGTCATCCTCTGCTACAGAAGGAATTCGAGGCCAGCTTTGATTGTAGGGGACCCTGTCTCAACAACAGTGTTAAAAGATGTGGTACAGGGCTTTACAGGAACTCATCACATCCAGTACCTCCAGGATAACCCTGGGTCTATCTTGACTTTCCTGGCGCCCTAGTTAGCAACACTCAGCATCTGTCTTAGTCTGTTTTGTATCATTGTAACAGAATTCCATGCCTGGGTAATTGATCTAATGTCAAGGTGCTAGACCCTGGCAAGGGCCATTAGACTGTGTCATCTGGTGGTAGGATTCAGAAGAGCAAGAAACAAAAGGGGCATCTCAGTGGTTGCTGCTGCTGCTGCTGCTGCTGCTGCTGCTGCTGGGCATCAAACCCAAGTTCTCATGAATGTTAGATAAGCTCTCTACCGCTAAGCCACGCACTCCACCTGCGTTCAAGAAATAACCTGCTCCTATGAAAAGGACATTGATACACTCATGGGGACAGGGCTCCTCTGACCTAGGAACTTGTTGATGCCTCAACTATCCACAGTGTTACATTGGGAATTGTGTTTCTAACATGCGAGCTTTGGATCTGTACATCCTTCCCATTTCTTCCCCATAGTTCCTAAGTGTCCATATTTGCTGAGAATGGTTTTATACCCTGACAATCCAAAGAAAAGGGTAGACTCCGTCTGCCTTCTCCTAGAGACTGAGTAGCAATGTGCATTTTATTTCAGGTCTCATTCTCCCTATAAAGCTCTTAGCATTGTCCGGCACAGTGAATATCAGTAAATGACCCCAGTGTGTAAGAACACACATGTGTAATTGGTAGTAGCTGCCATTTATGGAGCACTTATAACAGTCTAAAAATTCTCTGTACACACATGCATGCATACACATATACACAAAGTTGTTTTAATCCTTACAGCATCCTAAGGGTACATGTTATTGTCCCAGCTAGTCCCATTTCAGAGATGAGCTGACTGGCGTTTAGTGAACTGGAGTTGTTCAAGACCGCATGTTTGGTAACTTGAGTCCCTAACCATTGGGGTGTTCCTCTGAGTAGCATTCCATAGTCCCCATTGCCCCACAACTCCCCCCACAGGCAGAGTAGTACTTGCAGTGTTTGTTCCCTGCCTTCCAGTGCCCAGGAGACTAATTGCCCTGACTTCCCTGTCAGCATGTAACCTCCTAACCCTTTCTCAAGATCACAAACTCTCTGGAAGCAAAGGAAGTTATCAGTCAAGCTGAGAGCTGTCATGCTAATGGAGGGCTAATGCTAATACTAATGATCAGTAATAGCAGGAAGGAAGGAAGGGAAGGGGGAGTCTGTAATAACTGCCCAATTTGTTTTCAGATTGTTCAGACACTTTCACATCTCTGAGTGGCCCACGCCTCACTAAGCCTTGCGGTGGTGTCGGTTCCCTCCATGTGGTAGGGAAGAAACTGAGACCTATACCATTGCAGGAGACGTTGCCCAAAGCCAAGGGTCAATTTGCAGCAAAGCTGGAATTCAGGTGCAATTCTCGTTCCTTTATATCCTAAAAAAGTCTTCTCTGTGCAATGGTTATTTATCCCAAAACATCAGGTGTTGGGTAACCTTCCTCTAACCCCACCATATATGTCCTTCATCTGTAGGATTTTACCAGTCATGTAAGAAACCTTGAGATCAGTGCAGAACAGAATTTGCACTTCTGGATTTGCTGTGAGTTTCATGTCACGCTGCCATGTACCTGCTGCTGCTGACTGACCTCCGCAGACCCCTGTCTTTCCACAGCTCTCTTGGCAAGAGGCAGCAGAAGTTAAGCGTTGTTCAGAAAGCCTTCTGCGGCCATTAGCTGCAGTTGCCTGTTCTCTCTGCCTGCACAGCCACCCAGGTCTCTTCTTCAGAAAGAAAAGGCAGCAGAGGTTGATCTCTGTGGAGCTGGGGCTGTCCCTCTTCCTTCCCCTCAAAGGAGAGGTCTTACCAGAGATACTCCCTACGTTCATTTTTTCTTAAACTACAGACTTCTGAGAGCCTCCACCATTCAGCGAAACGTCTCAGGAAACACTCGTTGGCTGCAGCTGGCTCAAGTTTCCACCCTCTGTTAACTCAGACTCTCTCCATCACCTCACTGCTTCCAGTCACTGCTCTTGGGTTTGTTGGTGGTGTTTTGAGGGAGGGTCCTCACTATGTTGCCCAGACTGATTTCTAACTCCTGGGCTCAGAATATCCCTTCTCCAGCCCTCTGAGTATTCGAGGCTAGAGGTGTGCACCACCGTGCTGGTTCTCTTGATGGCAGTGTTCTCATTCCTGTCTTGTGCTCTCTTGTGGATTCCTTCTCCACTCCTGCACCCATACTTCAAACACGGTTGTTCGGGATTCTCTTTCTGGACATTTACCCTTGGTCCTGTCCCTGCCTGTTCATCTCGGTGGTTACATGCTTTAGCGCCCATTCCACCTTCGTTTCCTGAAAGAGGTCTTCCCCTACGATCTCGCCCTTACTGCCCCGTTCTCTCTCCTTTGGGATATCTCCGGAGCATCTCAGGGTCAACATGGCCCTTTTCCTTCCTGCAGTGCCCACAGGTCACTTTCTGTGATCAGTGGGTCATCGTTCACTCCACAGAGCACTCTGGTCATGACTAGTACAGCCTTCGTCCCCCACTTCCAGTGACTGCAACTCCACCCTTCCGCTCCTGGGGTGTTTCTGAAGTGTCCTCTCACGCCTGTGGCCCTTTCCCGGGGCCGTTACCTTTTGTGTCTGCAGTGCTTCTCTCAGCTTTTGTTGTTAAAGTTCTTTATCCATCAAGGCTTGCTGGTGTTTCTTTAGGATAAATATTGTTATCGTAGTTCGTTCTTTGTACTTCCCTGTCAGAATGCAAGAAATGGGTTGGCAATTTAGGGGAGGTTCTTGGAGGAAATCTACAGGTACTTGCCCAGCGTGCCTAGTTTGCACAGTTGCTTGGGGACACTGGATGTTAACATGTACCGCTCCATCCCTGAATCCCTTTTGCCTTTGTTCTCACTCTCGCCCGCCGCTTACTCTCTCACATCCAGCACTACCAGAGTGGATTTAGATGCCTCCCATCCAAGTCAACTGTGGTCTCCTGGTCCTTGTCTGGTTTCTAGGGTTAAATACAAGCTCATACAAGACAAAAAAAAAAATCAAGCTACTTCTATGTTCACGTGCCTAGCCTAGCTCTTACTTCCTGCTCAGCAGGTGATCTCAGCACAGTGAAGGGGTAGACATGGAAAGCACCAGATGTTTGTGGGTGTGCTACTGTCAAGCTCTCTGTAGACTAGGTCTCCTCCCACTCACCTGAATGTACAGGTCAAGTTGCTTGAGTCCAAGCTGAGAGCCGTTCTTGTATTTCGGGTGAACTCCAGTTCTAGTTTCTCCAGTTAACAGTTGTTAATCAGACTGGCTGCCCAGTTGCTTGTGTCTCAATCAAAGCATTTCTATCAAAGCCTTGTTTATGAGTGCAAATACACCATTGCTGTTTATGAGGAATTATTTTCTACCCTGCATGCAAACTAGCCACAAAAGCTGCTGTATGCATATGATATTATTATTCTGTGTGAAGTTTAAGGAATGCTGGGTTTTGACATTCTGCCTTTGAATAAAACAAGGCTCTATTAGAAAATCCCTAGTGAATAAAGCAGGAAAATTATAAGTAAACACCCAAGACGCCCTGAATATTAGAACGACAGCTGCAATGTTGTCATGGCATTGAGGAAAGTTACACTGTCTGGTAATAGACCTTATGTTTGCGCTATAACAAGGGTGAGAAGGTGGGTCTTCATATTCAGAACAACTGGACATGTCTCAAAGCTGTTATTAAAAGCAAAAAAGGTACTAACACAGGTTGACTTTGGCAAAACAAAATTACAAATTTAAGTAAACATTTGGGGCAAATAGGTTTTTTCTCATAAGGGACTAAAGCAGGGATTAGAAATAGAAATCATCTCTTTCTAGAATGTAGCACGATTAATAAAAACCCAGAGGCAGATATTGGGGTTCAACCTGAAGGTCAGAAAAGCAAAACAACCAGCCACTGGCTCTTGCCTCTCCCCCAGTCTGAAATGGCAGTCCTGCCTTCAGGAATCTCAGAATGAGACTGTGTCTGAGAGATGTCTCCCCCCCCCTCATCTTTTATTCCCCTCTAGGGCTGGGATTAAAGGTGTGCACCACTAGCACCCCGTTTTTATGACAAACTAATATGGCTACTGGGACAAAAGGTGTGTGTGTCACAACTGCCGGGTCTATAAGGCTGACCAGTGGGACTGGAGCTGTTTTGCTCTCTGATCTTCAGGCAAGCTTAATTTATTAAAAATACAAGTGAAATGTCACTACACTAGAACACCTGTATTTTTTCCATATAGTGCCTCTTCATTTCTCTCTAAACCAGACTCCCTGGCCATCTGGCAAAAGATGGCTTCCTCTTACCACTCCAGGTTCTGTGTCCTCTTTCAGTTCAACTAAAGAATCCATACTGAATTGGAATATCTCAGTTCCAGTTTCAGCCTCTCAGAAGGAAATTGGTTGGTGTGGCATAGGTCAGAAATCCCTGTGGTCCCAACAACTATAGCCAAGGAGACAGGGCCCTGTGATGCAAGTGTGATACCATAGTATCCACCCAGACACAAAGCAGGCAATTCTCAGACAGGGTGGGCCGTTGTGTGCTAGAACGACCACCTTTGCACCACGAAACTCCAGGGAAGCGTGAAGTGAGATGCACAGTGTAGTAGTCCTGAGCAGGTACAGGTCTTATAGCCCGATTGCCTGTGTCTTCCAGCTGATGGCTCCCTTGCGGCCGGGCTCATGCTTCCTTCTGTAGTACATAGAGAAGTGCCAACCACAGGCAGTCATTGTGCCTTTCTTCAATAAGCAGAAGAAAATATTAGCTCTGCCTTCATGGAAATTATAGTCTGGTGATACAAATAGGTAGTAAGTGTTTGAATAAATGCAAAGCAGAATTGTGGTGTACAGTTCTGGGAAGGAGAGAGGGAGGAAGACATAAAACTAGAACAAACCTCTCTACAGGTGTTAAAACACAAGGGAGCTATATGAACATCACCTGTTCATCCCAAGAGGATGACCATGGTAATCATAGCGTTCTGTTTGCATATTATCTGTTCATAATCTCAGCACATACATAAACACTATGGTTTGCATTTAAACATTTACTGGTTCATTTAAAGTATTAGCTGCTAAGAGATTATCATAAAAACAAACAAAATATAAATACATGCCACAAATGTTAGTTGGTACCTTTTAATATTGACTGACATTTTTTAATTCTTATTTTCCAATTTCAAATGATAGACTCCCAGCCCAGAGTTTGATGTAATTATAAAACAATTCTGCCAGTATCAAGTGGTTAAGTTTACAATAGGAGATAAGAATTCAGTCAACCCTATAAGGAGATTTGGAATAAAATTTTACAAATAACAATCAAAAGACATATTCTCTTTAGGACATGCAGGCAGGTTTAAAAGATAAGCCAGGATGTGTTTTGTCTATATGATGGATTATCTCCAGTGATCTTGGTGATGGTAAAAGGGACCAGAGGTAAAAAAAAAAATCTAAGAAATGTGGGGGGTTTGGAGCTAAGTTAGCATATTTGTTGCCAATACTAACCAAGAAATCACTGTGAAAGCAAACCAGATCTAAGAGTGTACTTCACAGAGCTCTTGTCTTGCTGTATTCATTAGAACAACTCCTCCTGTTGGTTCTCACTTGAAGCTTCTGTTTAAGCAGTTGCAGACCTCCGTGACTGGTTGCTATAGATTCTTCCCTCTCCACAGTTTTGTATAGATAAAGGGAGAAGTCAGTTCTTTGAGGTTCTTCAGGGTCCTAGGCACCCTCCATCCATGGTTCCATCATCCTGACTCTCTTCCATTCAAACTGGTCCAAGAGGCAAGAGTGAGCTTGGACCAGATCTGTACCAGAAAACATCCATCACCCCACCATACTTTATTATTAGAAACTTAGTCACACATACCACACCTGCCTCTAAGAAGACTGGACAAGTATATAGTCAGAGACCCAGAAGGGGATCTTGTAAGCATCAAGCCGCAATGTAGGAATTAACAAACCAGAGACAAACATCACAGAGGTCCACAGGGGGATTTCCTAGTCTTAAATACTAGGGAAATACTACTTCACCTTGATCTCTCTGGGATCTACTCCATTGGCCCACATCATCAATAACCCTCACCCAGGATGTTTCCATGCAGAGTTTCCGACTGGGCAGTTTAAGAGCGTGACTCCCATCGTGAGCAGAACTGCCCACTTTGGAAGGCCACCATTGCGCTTGCAAGACCTCAGGTTGGCTCTAACTAGCTTTCCCCTAAACAGCACGGCATTACTGATTTGAGTCAGTTACATCTAGGGTTTTGTTGTATTTGAGCTGGGCATTGAACAGGTCACTAAAAGATCACTTGGCATCTGCCCTGTGGAAAGCTCCATACAAATTCTTTTAAGTAACATAGTGAGGAAAACATGTTCCTCCCGCTCACGCCCTGAGCAAAAGTAGGATTGTCTTCAGCCTCACAGGCCACTGTGATAAGGAACCTATCCCTCGGGTCTCAAGCTGGTGGGCCAGGCAGGAAACGATGATGCTGGGACCCTGCATTACCTGTCATCTTTTATCTTATGCCCTATGAGCCTTCTTCACGTATTCAGAGTGTCCACTGATTTTCACATGTTTACATAGCTGTGCAACCATTTTGACAACAAGTGTAGCCAAAGGAAAAAAACAAAAACAAAAACCTCTATTAGTATTCACTTCCCATATTCTTCCAAGCTCCCCCAACTCCAGCAACTGCACAAGAATGTTCTTTCTCTGTCGACTTGCTGTTTGGGATTTTGCATACAAGTATGTTTATGTGGTCTGGTTTGTCTGGCCACTTTGATTCAGCATGATGCTTTCCAGTTTCATCCATGTTGAAGCATGTGTCCACACTTACTCCCTTCCATGCCTCTTAATCCCTTGTACGGACATGTCACCTTTATCCACTCATGCGTTGGTGGTCATCTTGCTTGTTTTTCTCTTTTGCCTGTGATGAATAATCTGCCTGAACATTTGTGTACAAGTAGATGTGAGTTTTCGTTTTCATTTCTTGTGGTGTTTATCTCAGAGTGTAACTACTGGGTCATATGGTAACTCTATGTTTATCCTTTTTAGGAACTGCCAGGCTGTTTCCCACAGCGACGGCGCCATTTTACATTTCCACCAGCAGTGTCTGAGGGTTCCAATTGCTCCACGTCCTCAGCCAGCACTTGTCACTGCCTGTCCTGCTTACTGTAGCCACTGTAGTGGGTGTGAAGTGGTGTCTCATTGTTTTGGCTTACATTTCCCCAATGGATTAATTTCTGTGGTGTTTATATTACTAACCTAGGGCAAAAGTTTAAGTCTTGTACTTTCGTGTGACAATCACATATGACTGGGTTGGCTTTCTGAAACAAAACCATAGTTCTATACCAGATAAATGTTGTTCTTGAGGGGTTATACTTTAAAAAAAAAAAACATGAAGTGAGATGAAGATTGCACACTCACCTGGGACATTTGTTCTGCAGTACAGATTCTTTCACAGTGTTCTTTATCTGAGCTCCTCAAGTGCTATTCTGTGACTTTTGCTAGATAATCCAGACAGCGGTTTGGTTAGATCCCCAGTGTGGTGTCACTCGGTAAACACTTGAAAATGGAGATGTGTGTCTCTGGTTTTATCGGTTGAGATTAAAGGTGGTTTATAGCACAGTAAACCCTTTCTCCCTACTCTGTGTCTCAGCGTGGGCCGAGAACCTGTCACCAGAAACTCCTTAAGCTAGGCTGGCCTTTCTCTACTGTCGTGTTGCTGTGATGACCTCAGGTTCTGACTGCAGAAGAGAGGCAAGAACCCTTTTCTGACTTGTGTGCCTCCCTGTCCTTTGTTTCCAGTAAAAGCTGTGCCGCTTTCAGCCCTTGCCTCTGTCTGGTTCTCTGATGTTTTTGTCAGTACTTGCGCCTTCTGTCTCTTTGGAGCTCCTCGTCCTCCTTGTTTCTGTCGTGGAAAGAACGTCGTGCAGCTTGGGAGTGTGTGAGTTTCGCCAGCTCTCAGTGTGTACAGAATGAGAAAAGAAGGGGTGTTGAAGGAGGAAAGACTACTGAGCCAAATTCAGAAACTGCTCTCTCTAGAAAGAGTCCCAGCATGCCTCAGGAAGCTCCCCCAGGAAGGAGCACCCCCCTGAAGACCCATCCTCCTCTCTGGCACACAGAGAGCCACACCAGAGCCCAGCCTCCCGTGCGCTGTGCACTCCTGTAGGGGACAAAGGGGAAAAAGAAAGAAGAGTAGAAAGTTGTCCCCTTCGCAGTGTCACCTCTGTCTTTTCTGCTCCTCAACCTAGTGTGGACTCGGGGCTCAGCTGGGAGTGGCTGGAAATAATAACTAGATCGATGGGCAGAACTTGAATTTTGCCACTCCAGAGTAAAAGGAGGCAATAACTTTAGACACTTAGGAAGCTGGAGTAAGCCTTCGTGAATTCACTTTTGACACTCTTTTGTTAATTAAAACACTGCTCTGGGTGAAGCAAGCACATCATGACCCAGTTATGGTGTTGTTTTTACTAAAGGTCCTGGACCACTAGATAATCCTCACCTGTGCCTTCTGAATGGCCAGAGGAATCAAATACTATCCAGAGATGTGTTAGTAAGAACTGTGGTTTACTTCTGATTTTTAAAATGACTAGCCCTCAAGTAATAGAAAAATGAATGATGGCAAGTCCTTACCAAACCATCCTGTGTGCTAAGCATTATGTGACAGCCGTGCATCGCCCTCTGAGGTGAACACAGTTGTCCTTCAATGGAGGTGTGATGAAGGTCAGTGCTTGCCTTATCCAGTTTGCCCCGTAGCTCAGTTGTCAGTGGAGCAGACATAGTGAATGGGAAAGCTCCCCACTCCCCTGTACCCTAGGACAAGTGGAGCAGAAGGGATGTAGGATGGCTCCCCACCCCCCTGTACCCTAGGAGGAGGGGAG